ACATCCTCTTTACTTTGCGTTCATTTTCAGTATGTCTGGTCCAGTGTGTTTCAATAATGATCTGCTCATACGATTTTGTTAGAGTTGCACTCTCATGTCAGTCAATCAATTGCCATGTCGAATGTGTGCAAGAACATTTTGCACATTGAGAATAGTTCCTGGTTATTCTCTTCTATTCTATCGCCTGATTGTATGACAGGCACGCCACAGAGATAAAACAAGACAACTGGAACACTACTCGCTTCATTCCGAAATCCCATCTGCTACTCCATTTCACATCAGTGTGAAAACATACATGAATGCATAGACGACATAAATACATAGTCATATTTTATATGTAAAAGATAAGACATCATCATTGATATCTCCCCTCTTAAGCACATCCTATTTACTTTGCGTTCATTTTCAGTATGTCTGGTCCAGTGTGTTTCAATAATGATCTGCTCATACGATTTTGTTAGAGTTGCACTCTCATGTCAGTCAATCAATTGCCATGTCGAATGTGTGCAAGAACATTTTGCACATTGAGAATAGTTCCTCGTTATTCTCTTCTATTCTATCGCCTGATTGTATGACAGGCATGCCACAGAGATAAAACAAGACAACTGGAACACTACTCGCTTCATTCCGAAATCCCATCTGCTACTCCATTTCACATCAGTGTGAAAACATACATGAATGCATAGACGACATAAATACATAGTCATATTTTATATGTAAAAGATAAGACATCATCATTGATATCTCCCCTCTTAAGCACATCCTCTTCAATTTGCGTTCATTTTCAGTATGTCTGGTCCAGTGTGTTTCAATAATGATCTGCTCATACGATTTTGTTAGAGTTGCACTCTCATGTCAGTCAATCAATTGCCATGTCGAATGTGTGCAAGAACATTTTGCACATTGAGAATAGTTCCTGGTTATTCTCTTCTATTCTATCGCCTGATTGTATGACAGGCACGCCACAGAGATAAAACAAGACAACTGGAACACTACTCGCTTCATTCCGAAATCCCATCTGCTACTCCATTTCACATCAGTGTGAAAACATACATGAATGCATGGACGACATAAATACATAGTCATATTTTATATGTAAAAGATAAGACATCATCATTGATATCTCCCCTCTTAAGCACATCCTCTTCAATTTGCGTTCATTTTCAGTATGTCTGGTCCAGTGTGTTTCAATAATGATCTGCTCATACGATTTTGTTAGAGTTGCACTCTCATGTCAGTCAATCAATTGCCATGTCGAATGTGTGCAAGAACATTTTGCACATTGAGAATAGTTCCTCGTTATTCTCTTCTATTCTATCGCCTGATTGTATGACAGGCACGCCACAGAGATAAAACAAGACAACTGGAACACTACTCGCTTCATTCCGAAATCCCATCTGCTACTCCATTTCACATCAGTGTGAAAACATACATGAATGCATGGACGACATAAATACATAGTCATATTTTATATGTAAAAGATAAGACATCATCATTGATATCTCCCCTCTTAAGCACATCCTCTTTACTTTGCGTTCATTTTCAGTATGTCTGGTCCAGTGTGTTTCAATAATGATCTGCTCATACGATTTTGTTAGAGTTGCACTCTCATGTCAGTCAATCAATTGCCATGTCGAATGTGTGCAAGAACATTTTGCACATTGAGAATAGTTCCTGGTTATTCTCTTCTATTCTATCGCCTGATTGTATGACAGGCACGCCACAGAGATAAAACAAGACAACTGGAACACTACTCGCTTCATTCCGAAATCCCATCTGCTACTCCATTTCACATCAGTGTGAAAACATACATGAATGCATGGACGACATAAATACATAGTCATATTTTATATGTAAAAGATAAGACATCATCATTGATATCTCTCCTCTTAAGCACATCCTCTTCAATTTGCGTTCATTTTCAGTATGTCTGGTCCAGTGTGTTTCAATAATGATCTGCTCATACGATTTTGTTAGAGTTGCACTCTCATGTCAGTCAATCAATTGCCATGTCGAATGTGTGCAAGAACATTTTGCACATTGAGAATAGTTCCTGGTTATTCTCTTCTATTCTATCGCCTGATTGTATGACAGGCATGCCACAGAGATAAAACAAGACAACTGGAACACTACTCGCTTCATTCCGAAATCCCATCTGCTACTCCATTTCACATCAGTGTGAAAACATACATGAATGCATGGACGACATAAATACATAGTCATATTTTATATGTAAAAGATAAGACATCATCATTGATATCTCCCCTCTTAAGCACATCCTCCTTACTTTGCGTTCATTTTCAGTATGTCTGGTCCAGTGTGTTTCAATAATGATCTGCTCATACGATTTTGTTAGAGTTGCACTCTCATGTCAGTCAATCAATTGCCATGTCGAATGTGTGCAAGAACATTTTGCACATTGAGAATAGTTCCTGGTTATTCTCTTCTATTCTATCGCCTGATTGTATGACAGGCATGCCACAGAGATAAAACAAGACAACTGGAACACTACTCGCTTCATTCCGAAATCCCATCTGCTACTCCATTTCACATCAGTGTGAAAACATACATGAATGCATAGACGACATAAATACATAGTCATATTTTATATGTAAAAGATAAGACATCATCATTGATATCTCTCCTCTTAAGCACATCCTCTTTACTTTGCGTTCATTTTCAGTATGTCTGGTCCAGTGTGTTTCAATAATGATCTGCTCATACGATTTTGTTAGAGTTGCACTCTCATGTCAGTCAATCAATTGCCATGTCGAATGTGTGCAAGAACATTTTGCACATTGAGAATAGTTCCTCGTTATTCTCTTCTATTCTATCGCCTGATTGTATGACAGGCATGCCACAGAGATAAAACAAGACAACTGGAACACTACTCGCTTCATTCCGAAATCCCATCTGCTACTCCATTTCACATCAGTGTGAAAACATACATGAATGCATGGGACGACATAAATACATAGTCATATTTTATATGTAAAAGATAAGACATCATCATTGATATCTCCGCTCTTAAGCACATCCTCTTTACTTTGCGTTCATTTTCAGTATGTCTGGTCCAGTGTGTTTCAATAATGATCTGCTCATACGATTTTGTTAGAGTTGCACTCTCATGTCAGTCAATCAATTGCCATGTCGAATGTGTGCAAGAACATTTTGCACATTGAGAATAGTTCCTCGTTGTTCTCTTCTATTCTATCGCCTGATTGTATGACAGGCATGCCACAGAGATAAAACAAGACAACTGGAACACTACTCGCTTCATTCCGAAATCCCATCTGCTACTCCATTTCACATCAGTGTGAAAACATACATGAATGCATAGACGACATAAATACATAGTCATATTTTATATGTAAAAGATAAGACATCATCATTGATATCTCGTCTTTTAGGCACATCCTCCTTACTTTGCGTTCATTTCCATTATATCTGTTCCAGTGTGTTTCAATATTGATCTGCTCATACGATTTTGTTAGAGTTGCACTCTCATGTCAGTCAATCAATTGCCATGTCGAATGTGTGCAAGAACATTTTGCACATTGAGAATAGTTCCTCGTTATTCTCTTCTATTCTATCGCCTGATTGTATGACAGGCATGCCACAGAGATAAAACAAGACAACTGGAACACTACTCGCTTCATTCCGAAATCCCATCTGCTACTCCATTTCACATCAGTGTGAAAACATACATGAATGCATAGACGACATAAATACATAGTCATATTTTATATGTAAAAGATAAGACATCATCATTGATATCATCGCTCTTAAGCACATCCTCTTTACTTTGCGTTCATTTTCAGTATGTCTGGTCCAGTGTGTTTCAATAATGATCTGCTCATACGATTTTGTTAGAGTTGCACTCTCATGTCAGTCAATCAATTGCCATGTCGAATGTGTGCAAGAACATTTTGCACATTGAGAATAGTTCCTCGTTATTCTCTTCTATTCTATCGCCTGATTGTATGACAGGCATGTCACAGAGATAAAACAAGACAACTGGAACACTACTCGCTTCATTCCGAAATCCCATCTGCTACTCCATTTCACATCAGTGTGAAAACATACATGAATGCATGGACGACATAAATACATAGTCATATTTTATATGTAAAAGATAAGACATCAACGTTGATATCTCCCCTCTTAAGCACATCCTCCTTACTTTGCGTTCATTTTCAGTATGTCTGGTCCAGTGTGTTTCAATAATGATCTGCTCATACGATTTTGTTAGAGTTGCACTCTCATGTCAGTCAATCAATTGCCATGTCGAATGTGTGCAAGAACATTTTGCACATTGAGAATAGTTCCTGGTTATTCTCTTCTATTCTATCGCCTGATTGTATGACAGGCATGCCACAGAGATAAAACAAGACAACTGGAACACTACTCGCTTCATTCCGAAATCCCATCTGCTACTCCATTTCACATCAGTGTGAAAACATACATGAATGCATAGACGACATAAATACATAGTCATATTTTTTATGTAAAAAATAGGACATCATCATTGATATCTCCCTTTTTTAATCACATCCTCTTATCTTTGAGTTCATTTTCAGTATGTCTGGTCCAGTGTGTTTCAATAATGATCTGCTCATACGATTTTGTTAGAGTTGCACACTCATGTCAGTCAATCAATTGCCATGTCGAATGTGTGCAAGCATATTTTGCACATTGCGAATAATTATCAGTTATTCTCTTCTATTCTATCGCCTGATTACATGACAGGCATGCCACAGAGATAAAACAAGACAACTGGAACACTACTCGCTTCATTCCGAAATCCCATCTGCTACTCCATTTCACATCAGTGTGAAAACATACATGAATGCATAGACGACATAAATACATAGTCATATTTTATATGTAAAAGATAGGACATCATCAATGATATCTCAACTTTTAACCACATGCTCTTTACTTTGCGTTCATTTTCAGTATGTCTGGTCCAGTGTGCTTCAATAATGATCTGCTCATACGATTTCGTTTGAGTTGCACTCCCATGTCAGTAAATCAATTGCCATGTCGAATGTGTGCAAGAACATTTTGCACATTGAGAATAGTTCCTCGTTATTCTCTTCTATTCTATCGCCTGAATATATGACAGGCATGCCACAGAGATAAAACAAGACAACTGGAACACTACTCGCTTCATTCCGAAATCCCATCTGCTACTCCATTTCACATCAGTGTGAAAACATACATGAATGCATGGACGACATAAATACATAGTCATATTTTATATGTAAAAGATAGGACATCATCAATGATATCTCAACTTTTAACCACATACTCTTTACTTTGCGTTCATTTTCATTATGTCTGGTCCAGTGTGTTTCAATAATGATCTGCTCATACGATTTTGTTAGAGTTGCACAGTCTTGTCAGTCAATCAATTGCCATGTCGAATGTGTGCAAGAACAATATGCACAATGTGAATATTTCCTCACTATACTCACTATACATAGTCATATTTCATATGCAAAAGATAGGACATCATCATTGATATCTCCCTATTAGCACATCTTCTTTATTTTGCGTTCATTTTCAGTATGTCTGGTCCGGTTGGTTTCAATAATGATCTGCTCATACGATTTTGTTAGAGTTGCACAGTCTTATCAGTCAATCAGTTGCCATGTGGAATGTGTGCAAGTACATTTTGCACACTGAGAGTAGTTGCTGGTTTAACTACTCTATTCTGTCGCCTGATATAATGACAGGCACGCAACGTAGATAACGCAAGAAAACTGGATCACTTCTCGTTTCATTACGAAATACCACCTTATGCTCAATTTCACATCAGTGTGAAAACATACATGAATGTATAATCGACATAAATACATAGTAATATTTTATATGTAAAAGATACGGCATCATCATTGATATCTCTCCTCTTAGGCACATCCTGTTTAATTTGCTTTCATTCACATTATGTTTCGTCCAGTGTGTTTCAATAATGATCTGCTCATACGATTTTGTTAGAGTTGCACTCTCATGTCAGTCAATCAATTGCCATGTCGAATGTGTGCAAGAACATTTTGCACATTGAGAATAGTTCCTCGTTATTCTCTTCTATTCTATCGCCTGATTGTATGACAGGCATGCCACAGAGATAAAACAAGACAACTGGAACACTACTCGCTTCATTCCGAAATCCCATCTGCTACTCCATTTCACATCAGTGTGAAAACATACATGAATGCATAGACGACATAAATACATAGTCATATTTTATATGTAAAAGATAAGACATCATCATTGATATCTCCCCTCTTAAGCACATATGATTTATTTTCCGTTCATTTTCAGTATGTCCGGTCAAGTGTGTTTCAATAATGATCTGCTCATACGATTTTGTTAGAGTTGCACTCTCATGTCAGTCAATCAATTGCCATGTCGAATGTGTGCAAGAACATTTTGCACATTGAGAATAGTTCCTGGTTATTCTCTTCTATTCTATCGCCTGATTGTATGACAGGCATGCCACAGAGATAAAACAAGACAACTGGAACACTACTCGCTTCATTCCGAAATCCCATCTGCTACTCCATTTCACATCAGTGTGAAAACATACATGAATGCATGGACGACATAAATACATAGTCATATTTTATATGTAAAAGATAAGACATCATCATTGATATCTTCCCTCTTAAGCACATCCTCCGTACTTTGCGTTCATTTACAGTATGTCTGGTCCAGTGTGTTTCCATAATGATCTGCTCATACGATTTTGTTTGAGTTCCACTCTCATGTCAGTCAATCAATTGCCATGTCGAATGTGTGCAAGAACATTTTGCACATTGAGAATAGTTCCTGGTTATTCTCTTCTATTCTATCGCCTGATTGTATGACAGGCATGCCACAGAGATAAAACAAGACAACTGGAACACTACTCGCTTCATTCCGAAATCCCATCTGCTACTCCATTTCACATCAGTGTGAAATCATACATGAATGCATAGACGACATAAATACATAGTCATATTTTATATGTAAAAGATAAGACATCATCATTGATATCTCTCCTCTTAAGCACATTCTCTTCACTTTGCGTTCATTTTCAGTATGTCTGGTCCAGTGTGTTTCAATAATGATCTGCTCATACGATTTTGTTAGAGTTGCACTCTCATGTCAGTCAATCAATTGCCATGTCGAATGTGTGCAAGAACATTTTGCACATTGAGAATAGTTCCTCGTTATTCTCTTCTATTCTATCGCCTGATTGTATGACAGGCATGCCACAGAGATAAAACAAGACAACTGGAACACTACTCGCTTCATTCCGAAATCCCATCTGCTACTCCATTTCACATCAGTGTGAAAACATACATGAATGCATAGACGACATAAATACATAGTCATATTTTATATGTAAAAGATAAGACATCATCATTGATATCTCTCCTCTTAAGCACATCCTCTTCAATTTGCGTTCATTTTCAGTATGTCTGGTCCAGTGTGTTTCAATAATGATCTGCTCATACGATTTTGTTAGAGTTGCACTCTCATGTCAGTCAATCAATTGCCATGTCGAATGTGTGCAAGAACATTTTGCACATTGAGAATAGTTCCTCGTTATTCTCTTCTATTCTATCGCCTGATTGTATGACAGGCATGCCACAGAGATAAAACAAGACAACTGGAACACTACTCGCTTCATTCCGAAATCCCATCTGCTACTCCATTTCACATCAGTGTGAAAACATACATGAATGTATATTCGACATAAATACATAGTCATATTTTATATGTAAAAGATAAGACATCATCATTGATATCTCCTCTACTAAGCACATCCTCCTTACTTTGCGTTCATTTTCAGTATGTCTGGTCCAGTGTGTTTCAATAATGATCTGCTCATACGATTTTGTTAGAGTTGCACTCTCATGTCAGTCAATCAATTGCCATGTCGAATGTGTGCAAGAACATTTTGCACATTGAGAATAGTTCCTCGTTATTCTCTTCTATTCTATCGCCTGATTGTATGACAGGCATGCCACAGAGATAAAACAAGACAACTGGAACACTACTCGCTTCATTCCGAAATCCCATCTGCTACTCCATTTCACATCAGTGTGAAAACATACATGAATGCATGGACGACATAAAAACATATTCATATTAAAGATGTGAAAGATAAGACATCAACATTTATATCTCCGAACTCAAGCACATCCTCTTCAATTTGCGTTCATTTTCAGTATGTCTGGTCCAGTGTGTTTCAATAATGATCTGCTCATACGATTTTGTTAGAGTTGCACTCTCATGTCAGTCAATCAATTGCCATGTCGAATGTGTGCAAGAACATTTTGCACATTGAGAATAGTTCCTGGTTATTCTCTTCTATTCTATCGCCTGATTGTATGACAGGCATGCCACAGAGATAAAACAAGACAACTGGAACACTACTCGCTTCATTCCGAAATCCCATCTGCTACTCCATTTCACATCAGTGTGAAAACATACATGAATGCATAGACGACATAAATACATAGTCATATTTTATATGTAAAAGATAAGACATCATCATTGATATCTCCGCTCTTAAGCACATCCTCTTCAATTTGCGTTCATTTTCAGTATGTCTGGTCCAGTGTGTTTCAATAATGATCTGCTCATACGATTTTGTTAGAGTTGCACTCTCATGTCAGTCAATCAATTGCCATGTCGAATGTGTGCAAGAACATTTTGCACATTGAGAATAGTTCCTCGTTATTCTCTTCTATTCTATCGCCTGATTGTATGACAGGCATGCCACAGAGATAAAACAAGACAACTGGAACACTACTCGCTTCATTCCGAAATCCCATCTGCTACTCCATTTCACATCAGTGTGAAAACATACATGAATGCATGGACGACATAAATACATAGTCATATTTTATATGTAAAAGATAAGACATCATCATTGATATTTCTCCTCTTAAGCACATCCTCTTCAATTTGCGTTCATTTTCAGTATGTCTGGTCCAGTGTGTTTCAATAATGATCTGCTCATACGATTTTGTTAGAGTTGCACTCTCATGTCAGTCAATCAATTGCCATGTCGAATGTGTGCAAGAACATTTTGCACATTGAGAATAGTTCCTGGTTATTCTCTTCTATTCTATCGCCTGATTGTATGACAGGCATGCCACAGAGATAAAACAAGACAACTGGAACACTACTCGCTTCATTCCGAAATCCCATCTGCTACTCCATTTCACATCAGTGTGAAAACATACATGAATGCATGGACGACATAAATACATAGTCATATTTTATATGTAAAAGATAAGACATCATCATTGATATCTCCCCTCTTAAGCACATCCTCTTCAATTTGCGTTCATTTTCAGTATGTCTGGTCCAGTGTGTTTCAATAATGATCTGCTCATACGATTTTGTTAGAGTTGCACTCTCATGTCAGTCAATCAATTGCCATGTCGAATGTGTGCAAGAACATTTTGCACATTGAGAATAGTTCCTCGTTATTCTCTTCTATTCTATCGCCTGATTGTATGACAGGCATGCCACAGAGATAAAACAAGACAACTGGAACACTACTCGCTTCATTCCGAAATCCCATCTGCTACTCCATTTCACATCAGTGTGAAAACATACATGAATGCATAGACGACATAAATACATAGTCATATTTTATATGTAAAAGATAAGACATCATCATTGATATCTCTCCTCTTAAGCACATCCTCTTTACTTTGCGTTCATTTTCAGTATGTCTGGTCCAGTGTGTTTCAATAATGATCTGCTCATACGATTTTGTTAGAGTTGCACTCTCATGTCAGTCAATCAATTGCCATGTCGAATGTGTGCAAGAACATTTTGCACATTGAGAATAGTTCCTGGTTATTCTCTTCTATTCTATCGCCTGATTGTATGACAGGCATGCCACAGAGATAAAACAAGACAACTGGAACACTACTCGCTTCATTCCGAAATCCCATCTGCTACTCCATTTCACATCAGTGTGAAAACATACATGAATGCATGGACGACATAAATACATAGTCATATTTTATATGTAAAATATAAGACATCATCATTGATATCTCCGCTCTTAAGCACATCCTCTTTACTTTGCGTTCATTTTTAGTATGTCTGGTCCAGTGTGTTTCAATAATGATCTGCTCATACGATTTTGTTAGAGTTGCACTCTCATGTCAGTCAATCAATTGCCATGTCGAATGTGTGCAAGAACATTTTGCACATTGAGAATAGTTCCTGGTTATTCTCTTCTATTCTATCGCCTGATTGTATGACAGGCATGCCACAGAGATAAAACAAGACAACTGGAACACTACTCGCTTCATTCCGAAATCCCATCTGCTACTCCATTTCACATCAGTGTGAAAACATACATGAATGCATGGACGACATAAATACATAGTCATAATTTATATGTAAAATTAACACATCATAATTCATATCACCCCTCTTAAGCACATCCCTTTTATTTGCCTTTCATCTTCGTTATGTCTCGTCCAGTGTGTTCGAGTAATGATCTGCTCATACGATTTTGTTAGAGTTGCACTCTCATGTCAGTCAATCAATTGCCATGTCGAATGTGTGCAAGAACATTTTGCACATTGAGAATAGTTCCTCGTTATTCTCTTCTATTCTATCGCCTGATTGTATGACAGGCATGCCACAGAGATAAAACAAGACAACTGGAACACTACTCGCTTCATTCCGAAATCCCATCTGCTACTCCATTTCACATCAGTGTGAAAACATACATGAATGCATAGACGACATAAATACATAGTCATATTTTATATGTAAAAGATAAGACATCATCATTGATATCTCCGCTCTTAAGCACATCCTCCTTACTTTGCGTTCATTTTCAGTATGTCTGGTCCAGTGTGTTTCAATAATGATCTGCTCATACGATTTTGTTAGAGTTGCACTCTCATGTCAGTCAATCAATTGCCATGTCGAATGTGTGCAAGAACATTTTGCACATTGAGAATAGTTCCTCGTTATTCTCTTCTATTCTATCGCCTGATTGTATGACAGGCACGCCACAGAGATAAAACAAGACAACTGGAACACTACTCGCTTCATTCCGAAATCCCATCTGCTACTCCATTTCACATCAGTGTGAAAACATACATGAATGCATATGCGACATAAATACATAGTCATATTTTATATGTAAAAGATAAGACATCATCATTGATATCTCCCTCTTAAGCACATCCTCTTACTTTGCGTTCATTTTCAGTATGTCTGGTCCAGTGTGTTTCAATAATGATCTGCTCATACGATTTTGTTAGAGTTGCACTCTCATGTCAGTCAATCAATTGCCATGTCGAATGTGTGCAAGAACATTTTGCACATTGAGAATAGTTCCTCGTTATTCTCTTCTATTCTATCGCCTGATTGTATGACAGGCACGCCACAGAGATAAAACAAGACAACTGGAACACTACTCGCTTCATTCCGAAATCCCATCTGCTACTCCATTTCACATCAGTGTGAAAACATACATGAATGCATAGACGACATAAATACATAGTCACATTTTATATGTAAAAGATAAGACATCATCATTGATATCTCCCTCTTAAGCACATCCTCTTACTTTGCGTTCATTTTCAGTATGTCTGGTCCAGTGTGTTTCAATAATGATCTGCTCATACGATTTTGTTAGAGTTGCACTCTCATGTCAGTCAATCAATTGCCATGTCGAATGTGTGCAAGAACATTTTGCACATTGAGAATAGTTCCTCGTTATTCTCTTCTATTCTATCGCCTGATTATATGACAGGCATGCCACAGAGATAAAACAAGACAACTGGAACACTACTCGCTTCATTCCGAAATCCCATCTGCTACTCCATTTCACATCAGTGTGAAAACATACATGAATGCATAGACGACATAAATACATAGTCATATTTTATATGTAAAAGATAAGACATCATCATTGATATCACCTCTCTTAAGCACATCCTCTTCAATTTGCGTTCATTTTCAGTATGTCTGGTCCAGTGTGTTTCAATAATGATCTGCTCATACGATTTTGTTAGAGTTGCACTCTCATGTCAGTCAATCAATTGCCATGTCGAATGTGTGCAAGAACATTTTGCACATTGAGAATAGTTCCTCGTTATTCTCTTCTATTCTATCGCCTGATTGTATGACAGGCATGCCACAGAGATAAAACAAGACAACTGGAACACTACTCGCTTCATTCAGAAATCCCATCTGCTACTCCATTTCACATCAGTGTGGAAACATACATGAATGCATGGACGACATAAATACATAGTCATATTTTATATGTAAAAGATAAGACATCATCATTGATATCTCCCCTCTTAAGCACATCCTCTTCAATTTGCGTTCATTTTCAGTATGTCTGGTCCAGTGTGTTTCAATAATGATCTGCTCATACGATTTTGTTAGAGTTGCACTCTCATGTCAGTCAATCAATTGCCATGTCGAATGTGTGCAAGAACATTTTGCACATTGAGAATAGTTCCTCGTTATTCTCTTCTATTCTATCGCCTGATTGTATGACAGGCATGCCACAGAGATAAAACAAGACAACTGGAACACTACTCGCTTCATTCCGAAATCCCATCTGCTACTCCATTTCACATCAGTGTGAAAACATACATGAATGCATAGACGACATAAATACATAGTCATATTTTATATGTAAAAGATAAGACATCATCATTGATATCTCCCCTCTTAAGCACATACTTTTAACTTGCGTTCATTTTCAGTATGTCTGGTCCAGTGTGTTTCAATAATGATCTGCTCATACGATTTTCATAGAGTTGCGCAGTCACGTCAGTCAATCATCTGCCATGTCGAATGTGTGCAAGTTCATTTTGCACATCGAGAATAGTTGCTCGCTAATCTCTTCTATTCTGGCGCCGGATTATATGACAGGCATGCCTCAGGGATATACCAAAACTACTGTAACACAACTCGTTTCATTTCAAAATCCCATCTGTTACTCCATTTCACATCAGTGTGAAAACATACATGAATGTATATTCGACATAAATACATAGTCATATTTTATATGTAAAAGATAGGACATCATCATTGATATCTCCCCTCTTAAGCACATACGATTTATTTTCCGTTCATTTTCAGTATGTCTCGTCCAGTTTGTTTCAATAATGATCTGCTCATACGATTTCGTTAGAGTTGCACTCTCATGTCAGTCAATCAATTGCCATGTCGAATGTGTGTAAGAACATTTTCCACATTGAGAATATTTCCTCGTTCTTCTCATCTATTCAACATACGGATTATATGACAGGCACGTCACTTTGATGAAGCTAGACAACAAAAACACTACTCGCTTCATTCCGAAATACTATCTGTTGCTCCATATCACATCGGTGTGAAAACATACATGAATGTATATTCGACATAAATACATAGTCATATTTTATATGTAAAAGATAGGACATCATCATTGATATCTCCTCTCTTAAGCACATCCTCTTCACTTTGCGTTCATTTTCAGTTTATCTGGTCCGGTTGGTTTCAATAATGATCTGCTCATACGAATTTGTTAGAGTTGCACAGTCTTGTCAGTCAATCAATTTCCATGTCGAATGTGTTCTAGTACATTTTCCACATTGAGAATAGTTCCTCGTTATTCTCTTCTATTCTGTCGCCTGAATATATGACAGGCACGTCACGTAGATAAAGCAAGACAACTGGATCACTACTCGCTTCATTCCGAAATCCCATCTGTTACTCCATTTCACATCAGTGTGAAAACATACATGAATGTATATTCGACATAAATACATAGTCATATTTTATATGTAAAAGATAGGACATCTTCATTTTTATCTCCCCTCTTAATCACAATCTGTTTATTTTGCGTTCATTTTCGGTATGTCTGATCCTGTGAGTTTCAATAATGATCTGCTCATACGAATTTGTTAGAGTTGCACAGTCTTGTCAGTCAATCAATTGACATGTCGAGTTTGTGCAAGAACATTTTCCACATTGAGAATATTTCTTCGTTCTTCTCATCTATTCAACATACGGATTATGTGACATGCACATCACTTTGATAAAGCAAGACAACTTAAACACAACTCGCTTCATTCCGAAATACTATCTGTTACTCCATTTCACATCGGTGTGAAAACATACATGAATGTATATTCGACATAAATACAAAGTCATATTTTATATGTAAAAGATAGGACATCATCATTGATATCTCCGCTCTTCAGCACATCCTCTTCAATTTGCGTTCATTTTCAATATGTCTGGTCCAGTGTGTTTCAATAATGATCTGCTCATACGATTTTGTTAGAGTTGCACTCTCATGTCAGTCAATCAATTGCCATGTCGAATGTGTGCAAGAACATTTTGCACATTGAGAATAGTTCCTCGTTATTCTCTTCTATTCTATCGCCTGATTGTATGACAGGCATGCCACAGAGATAAAACAAGACAACTGGAACACTACTCGCTTCATTCCGAAATCCCATCTGCTACTCCATTTCACATCAGTGTGAAAACATACATGAATGCATAGACGACATAAATACATAGTCATATTTTATATGTAAAAGATAAGACATCATCATTGATATCTCCGCTCTTAAGCACATCATTTTAACTTGCGTTCATTTTCAGTATGTCTGGTCCAGTGTGTTTCAATAATGATCTGCTCATACGATTTTGTTAGAGTTGCACTCTCATGTCAGTCAATCAATTGCCATGTCGAATGTGTGCAAGTACATTTTGCAAATTCAGATTTGTACCTGGTTATTCTCATCTATTCGATCGCCTGAATATATGACAGGCACGTCACGTAGATAAAACAAGACAACTGGAACACTACTCGCTTCATTTCGAAGTCCCACCTGATGCTCAATTTCACATCAGTGTGAAAACATACATGAATGTATATTCGACATAAATACATAGTCATATTTTATATGTAAAATATAAGGCATCATCATTGATATCTCCCCTCTTAAGCACATCCTCTTTACTTTGCGTTCATTTTCATACTGTCTGTTCCAGTTGGTTTCAATGATGATCTGCTCATACGATTTTGTTAGAGTTGCACAATCATGTCAGTCAATCAATTGCCATGTCGAATGTGTGCAAGAACATTTTCCACATTGAGAATAATTCCTTGTTATTCTCATCTATTCAATCGCCTGATTGTATGACAGGCATGCCACAGAGATAAAACAAAACAACTGGAACACTACTCGCTTCATTCCGAAATCCCATCTGCTACTGAAAATTCACATCAGTGTGAAAACATACATGAATGCATAGACGACATAAATACATAGTCATATTTTATATGTAAAAGATAGGACATCATCAATGAAATCTCCCCTCCTAGGGACATCCTCTTTTCTTTGCGTTTATTTTCATAATATCTGGTCCAGTGTTTTTCAACAACGATCCACTCGCACGATTTTCTTAGAGATGCACAGACTTGTCAGTCAATCAATTTGCCATGTCGAATGTGTGCAAGTACATTTTCCACATTGAGAATAATTCCTCGTTATTCTCATCTATTCAATCGCCTGATTATATGACAGGCACGTCACGTGGATACAGCAAGACAACTGAACCACTACTCGCTTCAATCCGAAATCCCATCTGTTACTCCAACTCACAACAGTGTGAAAACATACATGAATGTATATTCGACATAAATACATAGTCATGTATTATATGTAAAAGATAGGACATCATCATTGATATCTCCCCTCTTAAGCACATCCTCTTTACTCTGCCTTCATTTTCTGATTCTCTGTTCCAGTTGGTTTCAATAATGATCTGCTCATACGATTTTGTTAGAGTTGCACAATCTTGTCAGTCAATCAATTTCCATGTCGAATGTGTTCTAGTACATTTTCCACATTGAGAATAATTCCTCGTTATTCTCATCTATTCAATCGCCTGATTATATGACAGGCACGTCACGTGGATACAGCAAGACAACTGAACCACTACTCGCTTCAATCCGAAATCCCATCTGTTACTCCAACTCACAACAGTGTGAAAACATACATGAATGTATATTCGACATAAATACATAGTCATATTTTATATGTAAAAGATAGGACATCTTCATTTTTATCTCCCCTCTTAATCACAATCTGTTTATTTTGCGTTCATTTTCGGTATGTCTGGTCCAGTGTGTTTCAATAATGATCTGCTCATACGATTTTGTTAGAATTGCACAGTATTGTCAGTCAATAAATAGCCATGGCGAGCGTGTGCAAGAACATTTTCCACATTGAGAATAGTTCCTCGTTATTCTCTTCTATTCTATCGCCTGATTGTATGACAGGCATGCCACAGAGATAAAACAAGACAACTGGAACACTACTCGCTTCATTCCGAAATCCCATCTGCTACTCCATTTCACATCAGTGTGAAAACATACATGAATGCATGGACGACATAAATACATAGTCATATTTTATATGTAAAAGATAAGACATCATCATTGATATCTCCGCTCTTAAGCACATCCTCTTCAATTTGCGTTCATTTTCAGTATGTCTGGTCCAGTGTGTTTCAATAATGATCTGCTCATACGATTTTGTTAGAGTTGCACTCTCATGTCAGTCAATCAATTGCCATGTCGAATGTGTGCAAGAACATTTTGCACATTGAGAATAGTTCCTCGTTATTCTCTTCTATTCAATCGCCTGATTATATGACAGGTACGCCACAGAGATAAAACAAAACAACTGGATCAATACTCGCTTCATTCCGAAATCCCATCTGTTACTCCATTTCACATCAGTGTGAAAACATACATGAATGTATATTCGACATAAATACATAGTCATATTTTATATGTAAAAGATAGGACATCATCATTGATATCTCCCCTCTTTAGCACATCTTCATTAAATTGCGTTCATTTTCAGTAAGTCTAGTCCGGTTGGTTACATTAATGATCTGCTCATACGACTTTGTTAGAGTTGTACAATCATGCCAGTCAATCAATTGCCATGTCGAATGTGTGCAAGTACATTTTGCACATTGAGAATAGTTGCTCGCTAATCTCTTCTATTCTGTCGCCTGAATATATGACAGGCACGCAAGGTAGATAAAACAATACAACTGGAACACTACTCGCTTCATTTCGAAGTCCCACCTGATGCTCAATTTCACATCAGTGTGAAAACATACATGAATGTATATTCGACATAAATACATAGTCATATTTTATATGTAAAAGATAGGACATCATCATTGATATCTCCCCTCTTAAGCACATCCTTTTCAATTTGCGTTCATTTTCAGATTGTCTGTTCCAGTTGGTTTCAATAATGATCTGCTCATACGAATTTGTTAGAGTTGCACAGTCATGTCAGTCAATCAATTGCCATGTCGAATGTGTGCAAGAACATTTTCCACATTGAGAATAATTCCTTGTTATTCTCATCTATTCAATCGCCTGATTGTATGACAGGCATGCCACAGAGATAAAACAAAACAACTGGAACACTACTCGCTTCATTCCGAAATCCCATCTGCTACTGAAAATTCACATCAGTGTGAAAACATACATGAATGCATAGACGACATAAATACATAGTCATATTTTATATGTAAAAGATAGGACATCATCAATGATATCTCCCCTCCTAGGGACATCCTCTTTTCTTTGCGTTTATTTTCATAATATCTGGTCCAGTGTTTTTCAACAACGATCCACTCGCACGATTTTCTTAGAGATGCACAGACTTGTCAGTCAATCAATTTGCCATGTCGAATGTGTGCAAGTACATTTTCCACATTGAGAATAATTCCTCGTTATTCTCATCTATTCAATCGCCTGATTATATGACAGGCACGTCACGTGGATACAGCAAGACAACTGAACCACTACTCGCTTCAATCCGAAATCCCATCTGTTACTCCAACTCACAACAGTGTGAAAACATACATGAATGTATATTCGACATAAATACATAGTCATGTTTTATATGTAAAAGATAGGACATCATCATTGATATCTCCCCTCTTAAGCACATCCTCTTTACTCTGCCTTCATTTTCTGATTCTCTGTTCCAGTTGGTTTCAATAATGATCTGCTCATACGATTTTGTTAGAGTTGCACAATCTTGTCAGTCAATCAATTTCCATGTCGAATGTGTTCTAGTACATTTTCCACATTGAGAATAATTCCTCGTTATTCTCATCTATTCAATCGCCTGATTATATGACAGGCACGTCACGTGGATACAGCAAGACAACTGAACCACTACTCGCTTCAATCCGAAATCCCATCTGTTACTCCAACTCACAACAGTGTGAAAACATACATGAATGTATATTCGACATAAATACATAGTCATATTTTATATGTAAAAGATAGGACATCATCATTGATATCTCCCCTCTTAAGCACATCCTCTTTACTCTGTCTTCATTTTCTGATTCTCTGTTCCAGTTGGTTTCAATAATGATCTGCTCATACTATTTTGTTAGAGTTGCACAATCTTGTCAGTCAATCAATTTCCATGTCGAATGTGTTCTAGTACATTTTCCACATTGAGAATAATTCCTCGTTATTCTCATCTATTCAATTGCCTGATTATATGACAGGCAAGTCACGTTGATAAAACAAGACAACTGAAACACTACTCGCTTCATTCCGAAATACCATCTGTTACTCCATTTCACATCGTTGTGAAAACATACATGAATGTATATTCGACATAAATACATAGTCATATTTTATATGTAAAAGATAGGACATCATCATTGATATCTCCCCTCTTAAGCACATCCTCTTTACTTTGCGTTCATTTTCATTATGTCTGGTCCAGTGTGTTTCAATAATGATCTGCTCATACGAATTTGTTAGAGTTGCACAGTCTTGTCAGTCAATCAATTGCCATGTTGAATGTGTGCAAGAACATTTTGCACATTGAGAATAGTTGCTCGCTAATCTCTTCTATTCTGTCGCCTGATTTTATAACAGGCACGCAACGTAGATAAAACAAGACGACTGGAACACTTCTCGCTCTATTTGCGGTACGTTTGAAATTTGCGTTACGATCACACGGTATTTATTACAAAGTGCTTATTTATCGTTAAACTCTAGTTTATTAATCAATAATAACATTCAGTTAACCTTTGAAGATAAATGGTTCGACTGACACAAAAACGAGCTCGAAAAGTTTCTAGTTCTTCAGATGTCTACTGTGGTCTTACCTACACCCCATGCTCTGCATTTCCTGTTGCACCAGATAATAGTGGGAGTGGACTTATTCCACACATGTTGCTGGATGACTCCATGTCTAACTTAATAATGAGTTCTAACTCACGAACAGATGGTACCGATCTTATTAAGAGCGAATTAGCCGCTGTCTTTAAGCAATTAAGTGATATGCGTTCTAAAGTAGAGTCACTTGCGAGCTCTTTATTAAAGCATGATGATCTTAAACTAGAACTAAAGACACTGTCACCCCTTCGACTGCTGTTGTCAAAGGATATAGTTCCTTCTGAACTCGAAGACAGGATCAAAGTAGAATCAGTTATTGACTCGATAGCTAGCGAAGTCACCAAGCGAATAATCTCACGAAATAACGTGATTATATATAATATACCTGACAAGGTTGCCATCAAAACTGTAAGAAACTCGATACTAAAGGCAGATAACCTCCAGGACAGTCCATGCCAATGTATCCGACTTAACAAAAAGCATCAAAAATACTCGTGCCCTATCCTGTTTAGATTCGATTCCCATTTATTAGCGGAACGTTTGATAGAATCTGAACGCTTGTTTGTGCGCATACGAAGTTTAAAAACGCTCGTATAGTCTCGGACAAAACCACAAATCAAAGATTAACACAAAAGCGTACCATAAACGAAAATAACATTGTTGAGGTCACAACAAATGTGATCGCGCCAGCAGCTGAACCCACAGGTGCAGCTAATTTATCTCATGTTAGTCAGTGTACTGATATACCAATGCAGTGTGCTAGTCAGCCTCTCATACCCCTAGTGGCCCTAGATAACCAGGACATATCTGATGGAGACTCTAATGTCATTCTTTACAGTGTAATATCGGAAGCCAAGGATCGTACACCTGATTCTATTGTGAAGGCTCATAAAAACACTGCTAAACCTAAAAAGAATATATCAATTAAAAAGAAAGTAAATAAAAAACCTTCTAGTTCCAAACCGATTACCAAAAATATTTCAACGGCTTTACCAAACAAAAGTATAATTTCTGAAACTATGCTTAACCCTACTCATCGTAAGGGTGGTTATTAGGACACGTTTCGTTCAAACGTTACACAAGAAGGCCACTACAACCATCATGGAAACAGGCCCACTATTAGACAGACGGCAATAAACCAACGTGCCCCATGGTTTCCCCCATATGTAATAAATAATAAACCTGCAAGATGTAACTCTTATCATCACTCTCGCAGTGGAGAAGATGGTATACTAGGTTATGCACCATCAACGCAACCCCAACATGCAGGCACCTGTCTTAATTGTCCACCAAAACAAATACAACAAATTATTCAACCTTACCAAAATAAGGATTTTTTTTCGGCCTCAAGAGATCCCTTGTTCCACTAGCACTACAATTCGCTCATGCTATAGCCCATGCGATCCAGCAAACACATTGAACCATAGTCCAGGCATAGCTAGAACTCATACCTTCGATAAGGATGCTCTCGGTTTTTTTACACTACACACTCCCTTTTTAAACTTGTTACTCATTAACGCACGTTCACTTCTGAACAAAATTTCAGCCTTGAGAACCTTAGCCTTTCTAGCCAAGCCTTCTTTTATACTTATCACTGAAACGTGGTGTTATCCAGCAGTGGCCGATTCCGAATTAAATATCCAAAACTATCGACTCTATCGCTGTGACAGAGAAACTAAGCGACGAGGCGGTTGTCTTATATTTGCTTTGGATACCTTAACAACTAATAAATTTGAAGATAGTATCTTGAATAGTTTACCAGAATCGATCTGGATATCAATCAATACCCTAAACCATAGTCTACTCCTAGGTTGTATATATAGAGCTCCTGATAGTACTGATATTTTGAATGATTGTATTATCAATGCATTTATACACGCATCTACTCTAAACTTCAGCGCTAAGACTATCACTGGTGATTTCAATTATCCTGGGATTAACTGGAGTACCGGTAGTTGTCAGTCTAGCAATGGTGAATTTTTATCAATCCTTAATCTGTACTGCTGGTCACAGTGGGTTCGTACCCCAACAAGGGGTGATAATACACTTGATCTAATATTTAGTAGAGATATCATTCCCCTATCTGTACAAGTATACAACGAGTTTGCAAGCAGTGATCATAGGTTAGTAACTTGTGCTCTCCCCATCTGTCCCTCCTACAACCGACCAATTCGTACTCTTGGACCTGATAGTGTCTTGACATATAATTCGAGGTGTAGTAAACTAGGGCTTGACCCTTTATGGATGAGGAGACTCATACTTAACCTTATCTTCTTTTTCAAAATACTTAACAAACTCTCCTTCACATCCAGTCAGGCGATTCAATATGCTAAGGCTTAACATTACGACATTCGTAACTCCTTGTCTTTAGCGAAACAAACATATTCTAGGTTTTCTCTCTATATGAATTACTTTACCTGTAAGTTTTCTAGACTATGGAATAATTTACCCTAAACTATCCGTATGTTAGACTCTCTCCCATTGTCTGTTCGCTCAATTAATGCTTTTTGCTCCTCTGAAAATGCATTAAATGCTCTAGCGCCTGCAAGTGTATCTTACTCCACAAGTGAGATTATAGGAACTTTAAATGTTTAACCTCTTACTTGCTATCATTGTTTTGTTGTTCCGTGCTCTTTGCTTTAATCTTACCTTCTCTAGTTGTAGATAATTAATAATAACTCGCTCTGGCACTGGTAACAGCCTTACAGAATAATGTTGGTCAATCATCAGGCTATCCACTTGATGAGAAAATGACAAGTTCCATGGTGTTGCATTGGCTTGCCGTGACATATGCCATATTTAAACTGTTTATCAATTACTAAACCAGCAAACATAAAACCTTCTTATAATTCATGATTGTTCTCTAAATTAAATGTTGATATTAATAACAATCTGATCATGCATGTAAACTGGTGTGAATACTGTAAATATTCTTTTCAGAATATATTATTATTATTATTATTATTACTCCGAAGTCCCACCTGATGCTCCATTTCACATCAGTGTGAAAACATACATGAATATATATTCGATATCAATACATAGTCATATTTTATATGTAGAAGATAGGACATCATCATTGATATCACTCTCTTAAGCACATCCTCTTTACTTTGCGTTTATTTTCAGAATATCTGGTCCAGTGGTTTTCATCAACGATACACTCACACGATTTTCTTAGAGAGGCACAGTCTTGTCAGTCAATCAATTTGCCATGTCGAATATGTGCAAGTACATTTTCCACATTGAGAATAATCCCTCGTTATTCTCATCTATTCAATCGCCTGATTATATGACAGGCACGTCACGTGGATAAAGCAAGACAACTGAACCACTACTCGCTTCAATCCGAAATCCCATCTGTTACTCCAACTCACAACAGTGTGAAAACATACATGAATGTATATTCGACATAAATACAAAGTCATATTTAATATGTAAAAGATAGGACATCATCATTGATATCTCCCCTCTTTAGCACATCTTCATTAAATTGCGTTCATTTTCAGTATATCTGGTCCAGTGTGTTTCAATAATGATCATCTCATACGATTTTGTTAGAGTTGCACAATCATGTCAGTCAATCAATTGCCATGTCGAATGTGTGCAAGAACATTTTGCACATTGAGAATAGTTGCTCGCTAATCTCTTCTATTCTGTCGCCTGATTATATGAGAGGCATGCTTCAAAAATATACCAAAACAACTGGAACACATTTCCTTTCATTTCGAAATCCCATCTGCTACTACATTTCACATCAGTGTGAAACCATACATGAATGTATATTCGACATAAATACATAGTCATATTTTATATGTAAAAGATAGGACATCATCAATGATATCACTCTCTTAAGCACATCCTATTTACTCTGCCTTCATTTTCCGATTCTCTGTTCCAGTTTGTTTCAACAATTATCTGCTCATACGAATTTGTTAGAGTTGCATAGTCATGTCAGTCAATCAATTGCCATGTCGAATGTGTGCAAGAACATTTTGCACATTGAGAATAGTTGCTCGCTAATCTCTTCTATTCTGTCGCCTGATTTTATGACAGGCACGCAACGTAGTTAAAACAAGACAACTGGAACACTACTCGCTTCATTTCCAAATCCCATCTGCTACTCCATTTCAGATCAGTGTGAAAACATACATGAATGTATATTCGATATCAATACATAGTCATATTTTATATGTAAAAATTATCACATCATCATTGATATCTCCGCTTTAAAGCATATCTTCTTTACCTTGTGTTCATTTTCAGTATGTCTGGTCCCGTGTGTTTCAATAATGATCTGCTCATACGATTTTGTTAGAGTTGCACTGTCATGTCAGTCAATCAATTGCCATGTCGAATGTGTGCAAGAACATTTTCCACATTGAGAATAGTTCCTGGTTATTCTCTTCTATTCAATCGCCTGATTATATGACAGGTACGCCACAGAGATAAAACAAGACAACTGGATCACTACTCGCTGCTTTGAAAAATACCATCTGCTACAAGATTTCACATCAGTGTGAAAGCATACATGAATGTATATTCGACATAAATACATAGTCATATTTTATATGTAAATGATAGGACATCATCATTGATATCTCCACTTTTTAATCACATCCTGTTTAGTTTGCGTTCATTTTCAGTATGTCTGGTCCAGTGTGTTTCAATAATGATCTGCTCATACGATTTTGTTAGAGTTGCACAGTCTTGTCAGTCAATCAATTGCCATGTCGAATGTGTGCAAGTACATTTTGCACATTGAGAATAGTTGCTCGCTAATCTCTTCTATTCTGTCGCCTGATTTTATGACAGGCATGCCTCAGAGATAAAACAAGACGACTGGAACACTACTCGCTTTATTCCGAAGTCCCACCTGATGCTCCATATCACATCTTGTTGAAATCATACATGAATTTATAATCGAAATTAATACATAGTCATATTTTATATGTAAGAGATAGGACATCATCATTGATATCTCCCTTCTTAGGGACATCCTCTTTAATTTGCGTTCATTATCAGAATGTCTGGTCAAGTGGGTTTCAACAACGATACACTCCAACGATTTTGTTAGAGTTGCACAGTCTTGTCAGTCAATCAATTGCCATGTCGAATGTGTGCAAGAACATTTTCCACATTGAGAATAGTTCCTCATTATTCTTTTCTATTCTGTCGCCTGAATATATGACAGGCACGTCACGTAGATAATGCAAGACAACTGGATCACTACTCGCTTGATTCCGAAATCCCTTCTGTTACTCCATTTCATATCAGTGTTAAAACATACATGAATGTATACTGGACATAAATACATAGTCATATTTCATATGTGAAAGATAAGACATCAACATTTATATCTAGTCTTTTAAGCACATCCTCTTTACTTTGCGTTCATTTT